CCTCCCCCCACTGACACCAACGATGGGGCAGTATTCCTCCCCCCACTGACACCAACGATGGGGCAGTATTCCTCCCCCCACTGACACCAACGATGGGGCAGTATTCCTCCCCCCACTGACACCAACGATGGGGCAGTATTCCTCCCCCCACTGACACCAACAATGGGGCAGTATTCCTCCCCCCACTGACACCAACGATGGGGCAGTATTCCTCCCCCCCACTGACACCAACGATGGGGCAGTATTTCCTCCCCCCACTGACACCAACGATGGGGCAGTATTCCTCCCCCCCCACTGACACCAACGATGGGGCAGTATTCCTCCCCCCACTGACACCAACGATGGGGCACTATTCTCCCCCCACTGACACCAACGATGGGGCACTATTCCCCCCCACCCCCCCTGACCCCAATGATGGGGCACTATTCTTCCCCTCCCCACACTGACATCAATGATGGGGCACTATTCCTCCCACTGACACCAATGATGGGGCACTATTTCCTCCCCCCACTGACACCAACGATGGGGCACTATTTCCCCCCCCCCCCCCCCGACCCCAATGATGGGGCACTATTCTCTCCCCTCCACCACACTGACACCAATGATGGGGCACTATTCCTCCCACTGACACCAATGATGGGGCACTATTCCTCCCACTGACACCAATGATGGGGCACTATTCCTCCCACTGACACCAATGATGTGGCACTATTCCTCCCCACTGACACCAGTGATGGGGCACTACTCCCCCCACTGACACCAGTGATGGGGCACTACTCCCCCCACTGACACCAGTGATGGGGCACTACTTTCCCCCCACTGACACCAGTGATGGGGCACTACTCCCCCCACTGACACCAATGATGGGGCACTACTCCCCCCCACTGACACCAGTGATGGGGCACTACTATTCCCCCCACTGACACCAAGTGATGGGGCACTACTCCCCCCACTGACACCAGTGATGGGGCACTACTCCCCCCACTGACACCAGTGATGGGGCACTACTCCCCCCACTGACACCAATGATGGGGCACTACTCCCCCCACTGACACCAATGATGGGGCACTACTCCCCCCACTGACACCAATGATGGGGCACTACTCCCCCCACTGACACCAATGATGGGCACTACTCCTCCCCACTGACACCAATGATGGGGCACTACTCCCCCCACTGACACCAATGATGGGGCACTACTCCCCCCACTGACACCAATGATGGGGCACTACTCCCCCACTGACACCAATGATGGGGCACTACTCCCCCCACGACAACAACAACCTCCTCCCACTGACACCAATGATGGGGCACTACTCCCCCCACTGACACCAGTGATGGGGCACTTGTCTAACCCCCACTGACACCCAGATGGAGCACTACTCCTCCCACTGACACCAACGATGGGGCACTACTCCCCCCCACTGACACCAACGATGGGGCACTACTCCTCCCACTGACACCAACGATGGGGCACTACTCCTCCCACTGACACCAACGATGGGGCACTACTCCTCCCACTGACACCAACGATGGGGCACTACTCCTCCCACTGACACCAACGATGGGGCAACTACTACTCTCCCACTGACACCAACGATGGGGCACTACTCCTCCCACTGACACCAACGATGGGGCACTACTCCTCCCACTGACACCAACGATGGGGCACTACTCCTCCCACTGACACCAACGATGGGGCACTACTCCTCCCCACTGACACCAACGATGGGGCACTACTCCTCCCACTGACACCAACGATGGGGCACTACTCATCCTCCCACTGACACCAACGATGGGGCACTACTCCTCCCACTGACACCAACGATGGGGCACTACTCCTCCCACGATGGGGGACACTCCTCCAAACGATGGGGCACTACTCCTCCCACTGACACCAACGATGGGGCACTACTCCTCCCACTGACACCAACGATGGGGCACTATTCATCCCACTGATACCAACAATGGGGCACTATTCATCCCACTGACATCAGTGATGGGGCACTACTCCTTCCACTGACACCAATGACATGGCACTACTCCTCCCACTGCAAAATTACAGTTATGAAGTAGCAATGAAAATAATTTTATGGTTGGCGGGTCACCACAACATGAGGAACTGTATTAAGGGGTCGCGGCATTAGAAAGGTTTGAGAACCACTGCTTTACATGCATATGAACTTTAAAAGCATCCCAGTCTTAGTCCGTAGGGTTCAAATTGAGTTGGCCACCCCTTTCCAGCTATAACAGCTTCAACCCTTCTGGGAAGGCCATCCACAAGGTTTAAGAGTGTATAAATGGGAAAGTTTGACCATTCTTCCAGCAGAGCATTTGGTAGGTCAGGCACTAATGTCAGACAAGAAGGCCTGGCTCGCAGTCTAATTAATCCCAAAGGTGTTCTATCAGGTTGAGGTCAGGACTCTGTGGAGGCCAGTCAAGTTCCTCCACTCCAAACTCACTCATCTATGTCTTTATGGACCTTGCTTTGTGCACTGGTGTGCAGTCATGTTGGAACAGGAAGGAGCCATCCCCAAACTGTTCCCACAAAGCTGGGAACATGAAATTGTCCAAAATATCTTGGTATGTTGATGCCTTAAAAATTTCCTTCACTGGAACAAAGGAGCCAAGCCCAGGCCATGAAAAATAACTCTACACCATAATCCCCCATCCACCAAACTTTACACTTGGCACAATGCAGTCAGGCAAGTATCGTTCTCCTGGCAACCGCCAAACCCAGACATGCCCATCGGATTGGCAAGCAGAGAAGCATTACTCATCACTCCAGATAACACGTCTCCACTGCTCTAGAGTCCAGTGGCAGCGTGCTTTACACACTACTGCATCCGATGCTTTGCATTGCACTTGGTGATGTAAGGCTTGGATGCAGCTGCTTGGCCATGGAAACCCATTCCATAAAGCTCTCTATGCACTGTTATTGTGATAATCTGAAGGCCACATGAAGTTTGGAGGTCTTTAGCTATTGACTCTGCAGACAGTTGGCGACTTCTGCGCACTGTGCAATTCAGCATGCGCTGACCCCGCTCTGTCATTTTACATGGCCCACCACTTGGTGGCTGAGTTGCTGTTGTTCCTTCCACTTTGTTATAATCCCACTAACAGTTGACTGTATAATATTTAGTAACAAGGAAATTTCCTGAGAGCGACCCATTCTTTCACAAATATTTGTAGAAGCAGTCTGCATGCCTAGATGCTTGATTTTATACACATGTGGCCATGGAGGTGATTGAAACAACTGAATCCAATGATTTGGAGGGCTGGCCCAATACCTTTGGCAATATAGTGTATATATATATATAATATATATATATATATATACTCACCTGCAACTTTAATAGGTACACCTTGCTAGTTCCGGGTTGGACCTCCTTTTGCCTTCAGAACTGCCTTCATTCTTCATGGCATAAAGTCAACAAAGTGTTGGGAAAATTCCTCAGAGGCTTTGGTCCATATTGACATGATAGCATCATGCAAATGCTGCAGATTTTTTGGCTTCACATCCATGATCCCTTGATATATGACAGGATGGAGCTATGCTCGCATGTTGTTTACGTCAAAATCTGACCCTACCATCTGAACGTCGCAGCTGAAATTGAGACTCATCAGACCAGGTAACATTTTTCCAATCTTCTATTGTCTAATTTTGGTGAGCCTGTGTGAACTATAACCTCCATTTTCTGTTCTTAGCTGACAGCAGTGGCACTCGGTGTGCTCTTCTGCTGCTGTAGCCCACCTGCTGTAAGGTTGAGTTACTGTTGCATTTCTATCATCTTGAACCAGTCTGCCCATTCTCCTCTGACGTCTGACAACAAGGCAATTAATCCACATAACTGTTGCTCACTGGATATTTTCTCTTTTTCTGACCATTCTCTGTAGACCCTAGAGATGGTTATGCAGTTTTCGATATACTCAGACCAGCCCGTCTGGCACCAATAACCATGCTATGTTCAAAGTCACTTAAATCCCCTTTCTTCCCCATTCTGATGCTCGGTTTGAATTTCAGCAGGTTGTCTTAACCACATCTAGATGCCTACATGCATGACATGTGATTGGTTAGCAGTTTGCGTTACCAAGCAATAGAACAGGTGTACCTAATAAAGCGGCCATGAGTTTTCAATCCGCCCCTGTTCTCAACCAACATGCTTCTGGGGCATGCACCCGTCATTAAATCTTAACATCACTTATTAAGATATGACGACATTTTTTACTGAGCCATCGAACTCTGCTGTTTTATTTGTTTGCTCTTTAGTTGATTTCCCTATCAAGACCATGGGCTGCAAGGCTGAGTTTTGAATCTGTAATATATTTAAAGGGTTTGAGTCCAATATTAAAAGAAACTGGTATTTAACATAGAATAACCTAAAAATATTCTCGACCTTCACTAGCCTGCATCCTCAACCAACATGTTTCTGGGACATGTCCTCTTCATCAAGTCCTAACATTACTTATTAACCTCCCTACCGGTCTGATTATGTCCATATTTCTGTGCTCAAAGCGGTACTTTTTTTGCATGGAAATATGTATTTTTTTTTTTATTGTAGGCCTGTAATTTTTAGCAATAACTCACTGAAATCTGTCCGAACAAGAGTCTAGTAAACATCCCGGGTATGATAAAATTTGAAACACAAAATCCTAAATTATAATTTAATAAATAATCATAAAAAAATAATAATATAATAATAATAATCAATTTAATTCAATAATATAATCAAACCAAAAACACTGAAATTTGAAATATAGCACATCACTGAGCAAAGTTGCAGAATCGTTTTCAGTGTCTGATGACGAATTTCCCCCACGAATCGTTATCACTCAATTCTGCAAGTGGTTCTGATTTACTATCACTGTTCTCTAGCCGGTCTAAAACCGCTTTTGACATAAAGGGACGCTTTTTTGGACGTCATGGACACTTCTCAGTTTCCAGGCAGAAAGAACAGTAAACATGCAGGCAGGGCGCCAGACAAAGCACTCGGGACAAAATGTATGTGAAATGGTTTGATACAGGAATGTTATACTATGTGATTTTAGTGATTTTAGTGAATGTCACTTTTTGTAATTTTCAAATTTCCCACCGTTCCGTCCCCCGTACGACCCGACGTCACAGGGTACGGAACCCGGAAGACAGATGCCGGCATCCACCGGATTACATTGCCGGAGACACTGCAGGAGGGACATCGCGGGGAGCGCAGGACAAGGTAAGTGAAGAACAGATGCCGGAGCAGCACCACATGGTAAGCCCGAGTGTAGCTCGAGGTTACCGCTTTTGGTACTGAAACTTTACCCCGAGCTACACTCGGGAATACCGTCAGGGAGGTTAAGATATAGTGACACTCTTTACTGAGCCAACTGACTGGTTTTTTGTTTGCACTTTACACTTTGTTTGCACTTTAGTTGATTTCCCTATCAAGTCAATGAGCTGCAGTTTGGTTTTGAAGCTGTATGGAATTCGAGAGCTTTGGGTCCAATATTGGAAGAATCTGGATTTTATGTCCTCATGCACACGGGACGTTTTTACAGCTGCTGTATTTGGCTTTTGGCGGTTTTTTCTACAGCCAGTAAACTCCCCAGTATGTTATCGTATGTGTCCATGCACACATAGACTGTAATCAGCATTTGTTGGCAGGGGCGTTTTTTTGGGCTGGAAAAAATCCCAGAACTAGTGGGTTTCTAGAGGAGTTTTTTTAGCTGTAAAAATGCTCTAACGTGGGAAAAATAGCAAAATGCGGTAAAACACAGCAAACCAGCGTTTTCGAACTTTTTTTTGAGCAAAACAACCCGTGAAAAAAGCAAAGGTGAAAAAATGCGGCAAAGCGCTGTTAAACGCTAATGCAAAAAAGCTAAATAAAAAACACTGAAAAACATATTAAAACGCCCAGTGTGCATAGAGCCTAACATAACCTAAAGATATCATCCAACTGAACTTACTTGCGTCCTCAGCCAACATTTTTCTGGGGCATGCCCCCTTCATCAAGTCTTAACATTACTTTATTAACATTTAGTGACATTCTTTACTGAGCCAATGAACTGATGTTTTCTGATGTTTTATTTGTTTGCACATTAGTCAATTTTCCTATCAAGTTCATGAGCTTCAAGGCTGGCTTTTAAAGATGTAAGGAGTTTGAGGGCTTTAAGTCCAAGAATCTGGATCTTACATAGTTACACAGTTAGTCTGTCTGAAAAAAGACAAAAGTCCATCTAGTTTAACATAAAAAAAGTTATAATCCAAAGCCATTTATAATTCTGCCCCAAATTACATCACCGATCTGTTCTCCAAATATTATTATTATTATTACTATACACGATTTATATAGCGCCAAAAAGTTTGCTCAGCGCTTTACATTATAGTGGGAGACAATACATGAGACAGTACAGTAACAATACAATACAGTACACAAGGGGTTCGAGGGCCCTGCTCCTTGGAGCTTACAATCTAGGAGGGAGGGGAAATATCACCCAAACCATACTCTCTGCTCCTCGCATGACCTCCTGCTCTCTAGCTCCCTTGTCTCCTCCTCCCATGATCGTCTCTCCAGGACTTCTCCAGAGCTTCCCCTATCCTCTGGAACTCTCTACCACAATTTATCAGACTATCGCCTACTCTGCTCACTTTTAGCGCGATCTCTGAAAACCTATCTCTTCAGGGAAGCCTATCCTGCCTTCAGCTAATAATGGAATCTTCTATTCCTACCCGTCCATCCCCCACAGTTACTACCTTTTGTACCACTAGCCCCTCCCTCTTAGATTGTAAGCTCCAAGGATCAGGGCCCTCCTAACCCTCTTGTATTGAACTGTATTGTTGCTGTATTGTCTCCCGTTATATTGTAAAGCGCTGAGCAAACTGGTTTGGCGCTATATAAATCCTGTATAATAATAATAATAATCCTATACCCACAGTTGTTCCAGAGGAAGACAAGAAGCCCAACAAAGTATGATCCAATTTGCTCCTGCAGATGAAAAAAATTATTTTCTGATCCCCCAAGAGGCAATCAGATATTCCCCTCAACTTTACCCATAATTGTTAGTATCCAGTTATATTCTGTGTATCCAAGAGAGAATCTAGGCTTTTTTTTAAAGCAATAAACTGAGCTGGCCAGAACCAACTCTTGAGGGAGTCTATTCCACATTTCACAGTTCTTACTGTGAAGAATCCTTTCTTAATAATATAGTGAATACCTCTACACCGAGTTCACTATATGTAAACCACTGATGTATTTATGGAGATCATATCCCCCTTATGTATTATACATGGAGATCAATATCCCCCTTATGTATTATACATGGAGATCATATCCCCCTTGTGTATTATACATGGAGCTCATATCCCCCATTATGTATTATACATGGATATCATATCCCCCCTTATGTATTATACATGGTGATCATATCCCCCCTTATGTATTATACATGGAGATCATACCCACCCCCCCCCCCCCCTTATGTATTATACATGGAGATCATATCCCCCCTTATGTATTATACATGGAGATCATATCCCCCCTTATGTATTATACATGGAGATCATATCCCCCCTTATGTATTATACATGGAGATCATATCCCCCTTATGTATTATACATGGGGATCATATCCCCCCTTATGTATTATACATGGAGATCATATCCCCCTTATGTATTATACATGGTGATCATATCCCCCCTTATGTATTATGCATGGAGATCATATCCCTCCTTATGTATTATACATGGAGATCATATCCCCCCTTATGTATTATACATGGAGATCATATCCCCCTTATGTATTATACATGGAGATCATATCCCCCCTTATGTATTATACATGGAGATCATATACCCCCCCTTATGTATTATACAATGGAGATCATATCCCCCCCCTTATGTATTATACATGGTGATCATACCCCCCTTATGTATTATACATGGAGATCATATCCCCCCTTATGTATTATACATGGAGATCATATCCCCCCCTTATGTATTATACATGGGTGATCATATCCCCCCTTATGTATTATACATGTTGATCATATCCCCCCTTATGTATTATACATGGTGATCATATCCCCCCCTTATGTATTATACATGGAGATCATATCCCCCCCTTATGTATTATACATGGAGATCATATCCCCCTTATCTATTCCACATGGAGATCATACCCCCCCCCCCTTATGTATTATACATGGAGATCATATCCCCCCCTTGTGTATTATACATGGAGCTCATATCCCCCATTATGTATTATACATGGATATCATATCCCCCTTATGTATTATACATGGAGATCATATCCCCCCTTATGTATTATACATGGAGATCATACCCCCCCCTTATGTATTATACATGGAGATCATATCCCCCCTTATGTATTATACATGGAGATCATATCCCCCCTTATGTATTATACATGGAGATCATATCCCCCCTTATGTATTATACATGGTGATCATATCCCCCTTATGTGTTATACATGGAGATCATATCCCCCCTTATGTATTATACATGGAGATCATATCCCCCTTATGTATTATACATGGAGATCATATCCCCTTTATGTATTATACATGGAGATCATATCCCCCCTTATGTATTATACATGGAGATCATATCCCCCCTTATGTATTATACATGGAGATCATATCCCCCCTTATGTATTATACATGGTGATCATATCCCCACTTATGTATTATACATGGGGATCATATCCCCCCTTATGTATTATACATGGTGATCATATCCCCCTTATGTATTATACATGGAGATCATATCCCCCCTTATGTATTATACATGGAGATCATATCCCCCCCTTATGTATTATACATGGAGATCATATCCCCCCTTATGTATTATACATGGAGATCATATCCCCCCTTATGTATTATACATGGAGATCATATCCCCCCCTTATGTATTATACATGGAGATCATATCCCCCCTTATGTATTATACATGGTGATCATATCCCCCATTATGTATTATACATGGAGATCATATCCCCCCTTATGTATTATACATGGAGATCATATCCCCCCCTTATGTATTATACATGGAGATCATATCCCCCCTTATGTATTATACATGGAGATCATATCCCCCCTTATGTATTATACATGGAGATCATATCCCCCCCCTTATGTATTATACATGGAGATCATATCCCCCCCTTATGTATTTCCACATGGAGATCATACCCCCCTTATGTATTATACATGGAGATCATATCCCCCCCCTTATGTATTATACATGGAGATCATATCCCCCCCTTATGTATTATACATGGAGATCATATCCCCCCCTTATGTATTATACATGGAGATCATATCCCCCTTATGTATTATACATGGAGATCATATCCCCCCTTATGTATTATACATGGAGATCATATCCCCCCCTTATGTATTATACATGGAGATCATATCCCCCCTTATGTATTATACATGGAGATCATATCCCCCCTTATGTATTATACATGGAGATCATATCCCCCCTTATGTATTATACATGGAGATCATATCTCCCCCTTATGTATTATACATGGAGATCATATCCCCCTTATGTATTATTATACATGGAGATCATATCCCCCCTTATGTATTATACATGGAGATTATATCCCCCCTTATGTATTATACATGGAGATCATATCCCCCCTTATGTATTATACATGGAGATCATATCCCCCCTTATGTATTATATTATACATGGAGATCATATCCCCCCTTATGTATTATACATGGAGATCATATCCCCCCTTATGTATTATACATGGTGATCATATCCCCCCTTATGTATTATACATGGAGATCATATCCCCCCTTATGTATTATACATGGAGATCATATCCCCCCCCCTTATGTATTATACATGGAGATGATATCCCCCCTTATGTATTATACATGGTGATCATATCCCCCCTTATGTATTATACATGGAGATCATATCCCCCCCCCCCCCTTATGTATTATACATGGAGATCATATCCCCCCTTATGTATTATACATGGTGATCATATCCCCCATTATGTATTATACATGGAGATCATATCCCCCCTTATGTATTATACATGGAGATCATATCCCCCCTTATGTATTATACATGGAGATCATAT